CCTTAATTTATATACCAAGGATCTTGAGAATAATTAAACTTGATAACGAATTTTAGTAGGAATACATTTAATATAATAAATAAAGTTCAATTTGTACACCATAAGTATTGTCCTTAATTGCATGCTTCATTATTAATCTACTAATTCTGCAATTAATTCACCATTACAATACAATTAATTCTATCATAAACAATTCGATCTCCTCTTCCATTAATCTACCATTATAATTCCAACCATTTTCCTATCAATTTGTCATCAATACTATCATCAACTTTATTTCTCAATTTGATGCATTTTCTTCTCTCTTTCAGTTAATCTTCAAAGAACTTAATCGTGTTTTATTAATTCGTAATTAACTCACAATTAGTTAATCGTATTTTCGAGGTATTTCTCTTTTATATCAGAAACGCGCCTAAAAAACGATGCAATTGCGATGTTTCATTATTTTGCAAAGCAGTTTTTATTGTCCCCAACAAGTGTTCGAGTTCTGCCCGTAACTTTCGACAACGGGAATTTTGCATAGAAATTAAATAACGCGGAAATTCAATTACAGAGATAATTCTGCATTAATATTTGAATTCCACGAGGCGGCGAATTCCCACGCTGTTCTCTTTTGGACTTCAAAACGCGTCGTTTCGAAAGTTACGATTGGCGAAATTGAAATCGTACAGCCTGAGAATGCAAATTTTTTCTTCTATTTCCTTCTGGAAGTCTGACGTTCATAAGCGTGTAGGTCTTATAGTGTCTTCAGAAATTGAGTGTCAGCTTCTGATAATTTAAAGCGAAAGATTATTGCAATTCTCAATTTCATAAGTATTTATTAACCATGCAAATGTTAAGATGCTTTTAAAATTTTTTAAATGATATTGTGTTGTTTTTCAATTCAAATTGATTTTGTCGTAACCTAAATCCTTCTATTTGGATTGGTAAAATTTTCTTTATTTGGAATTTTTCTTTAGGATTTCTATTTCCACATTGATATATCTGGGGTTCGTTAAGTGACTGTAAAAAAATTTCGTGAAAGTTATATTCAGAATGTCGGGAATTATCGTATGAAAAATTTAACAAGATGTTTAATACTTTTGTCCGGTTTAATGGATCCTCTTAACCGTGTATCGTCCATTTTATGTTGCAGGCGTTCTTGGAAATGGCGGATGAAAATGCTGCAGCGACAATGGTAAATTACTATGCCTCTTCCATAGCCCAGCTCCGTGGCAGACCAGTCTACGTTCAATTCAGCAATCATCGGGAACTCAAAACCGATCAAACACATCCCAACAATGCGGTGAGTGATTTAAAAAGAGCATTTCTACAAATTTTAATGTTTTTTTAATTCTTCTTCGAACTCATAATTAACAATTACGTGTATAGATAGTTACAAAAAAAAGTTAGACTGTTTAGTCTACCCTGTTTACCACTAAATAATTTTGAATAGGTTGGGAAATTAAAAATGTCATATGTGACACATTTACTACGTAGAAAGAGTATTACCAGAAATAACTATTTACTAGAAATCATTTTTTGAAAATAAAGTAAAATAATCCTATTACTCGAATTCCATAAGAATGCAAGAAGCCACTTTTCCATTGGAAAATCCATCAATGCAATTCCAAAAATATTGTATAATGCAAATATTTTCTACCAATTGTGTCTTTCTAAAAAACACAAACCCAAAATCTGAGGGAAGAAGCCATTCTACTCACAGTACAGTAAATTCTCCACAAGTGTCAGTCGGCAAGGAACCTAAACCTGACACTTGTAGAGTCAGGGACTACGTTTTCGAGCCTCGCGCCCGCCATTGCAGTTTGCCGAACGTAGACAAGGACAGCGAATAAAAGATAAGGATGAAACGTGAGTCGAGGCAACCAAGTGATTTAAATACCAACTTTTTTAATTTTACGTTCTTTTATCCCGAAATTTTTCTTAACATATTGATGAGATTTTTCTGATGAAAATTACATGAAACACGACATAATTTGAACAACATTTACTTATTAACACGTTCACTGTCTGGCGTGATAGTGAATAAGTAAATGTTGTTCAAATTATATCGTGTTTGATCTCATTTTCATCAGAAAAATCTCACCAACATGTTAAAAAAAATTTCAGATGAAAAAAAGGAAAATTAAAGAAATTATATTTTTCTATTATGAATTGTCGAGCAGTGAAATCTCGTAAAAGAAACCGAGTGGTATAGCGTTTTACACGCTTGACTGACAGCGAGCGAGGATAACATAAGCGTAGGACCATCTATACTGACACTTGTGGAATCCAAACTGACTGACACTTGTAGAGAATTTACTGTATTATGTACTTGCAAAAAGAAAATGCAGACTTTCCCAAAATAGTAAAAATAGTAAAATACAAATAATGAAAATAGTAAAAATATTAAAATATTACAAAGAGTGCAAATAGCGAAATAGTAAAAATGGTAAAATATTACAAAGAGTGTAAATAGTAAAATAGTAAATAGTTACCTGTCTTTCCAATAAAAAATATATTTCCAAGCACAGTGAATTCACAATTAATAGCAAGATACCTCGTGTCGAAAAGGTAGAACTACTTTGCTCTATCAGTAGCGTAGTCAAAGAAAAACCAGCGTCTTTCGCAGGAACCGTCCCAGAACCGCATTCAGCGCTATCTTCCGGCCGAAATTACTATTAAAAGCGGATAACGAGCCCGGCTGAAAAACATACGGTCCATTTTTGACTAAGGGCGGCCTGTTTGGTCCCGCTCTGAATATGTGAAAACCAAGCGCGCGCGCTCGGTAATTTGCAAAGAGCGAGGAAAGCACTCTTTCGAATCCGCCTTCCGTGTATATTCACTTATTTGCAAAGGCGGCTCGCGCAATTACTTTTTAACGAGTGGCCCTCCTCCCTTCCCCTTCCACGTTCTGCCCTTAATATTTTCTGGATTTTCGCCCTTGCTGCCATGCACAAAAACTCGACCGGTAAAACAGCGGATTCTAAACGACGTTTCAACCACATTTTCCACGTGTACATTATTGGACGAAACATGTTAATTCTTTTTTTCACTTAACCTTTTTTTTTTACTTTTCAAAAAATTGTGCGCATTTTGGAAAAGTTGCACTGCATGGAGGTTTCTCATTTTTGAGATGGGCAAAATGAAAGAAATCAATGTTTCACTTCCTTTTTGTTTGTTTTCTCGAAAGGAACAAATTTCCACTTGCTAAACTTTGAAAAAACAGTTTCCACGAATTCGACAATCTCGTTTCTACAAAAAAGGTTATTTCCACATTGTAGAGTTTCTTTAAAAGTTCTTCCAATTGAAAAGTCAAATAAATCAATTTTTTTCTACCAAACATTTCGTATTTTTTTTTTTCTCTCTGAAAAAGCAACTCGTTTCTACGTGCTAAAAACTTCAAAAGTCAATTTCCTGTGTCCATACAAGACCCCTTTCTCTGAAAACAGTCAGTTTTTGACGTTTACATGTTTTGGCACTTGGTTTTTCAGCAGATCATTAATAAAATTTTATTGGCAATGTAAATAGAAATGAAAAACAAAATAATGAACATAATAAAACAAAATTAGAGCAGATGGAAAATATTAAAAATAGTTTGTTGCAAATTGTGCAATTTAATTATTTCTTTCAATTACCAGTTGATGTTTTGTACCAAAACAATTTATTGGAAATTTTAGAATTCCGTTAACATTCTGAAAAATGTATAAAATTCTGCTATTTCGATAATATCGAACGATTCTTTTCCATGTTACATTCATCAAATAGTATTGTATCGAATTTTCTTCCTCCTTTTGCAAAATTAGAACACAAAGTTGAAAACAAGCGAAGATATAAATAGAAGAAACTTAGGTGATATAGAACTTTTGAACAACGGTGCAATCTTGTTTGAAGTAGATGAAGAAAAGAAGGTAAGATCTGTTGCAGTGCTTACTAGGTTGCTACGTCTTGATTATAAAAAGTTTTCTAGCAATGAAGGAAGAAAAATCGAACTCCGATGTTCTCTAAAGCAGCAATTTGTACTACTAATTTCAATCCAAGTATTAACAAGTATCGATTGATTAATTTAAAATTGAAAAAGTTACAGTTACTGGGCCATCGAAATTATAAAAAAATCCCCGTTAATCCTTTTCCAATAAAATCTCATTTCGAATATTCAACGCAGGATCATCTTAAATTTTTCAAATTAATTATTCATCGGCTTTTTTCTGTGGTTGATAAAGCGATGAAGAAAATTGAGAATAATTGAAAATATCAATTGAGAATGTAGAAAATTATTTTTTTTCTATGGTTGATAGAGTGATCAAGAAAATTTGGAATAATTAAAATTCTCAATTGAGAGGGTGGAAAATTATTTTTTTCTGTGGTTGACAGAGTGGTCGTGAAAATTTTGAATAATTAAAATTCTCAATTGAGAGGGTGGAAAATTATTTTTTTTCTGTGGTTGATAAAGCGATGAAGAAAATTGAGAATAATTGAAAATATCAATTGAGAATGTAGAAAATTATTTTTTTTCTATGGTTGATAGAGTGATCAAGAAAATTTGGAATAATTAAAATTCTCAATTGAGAGGGTGGAAAATTATTTTTTTCTGTGGTTGACAGAGTGGTCGTGAAAATTTTGAATAATTAAAATTCTCAATTGAGAGGGTGGAAAATTATTTTTTTTCTGTGGTTGATAAAGCGATGAAGAAAATTGAGAATAATTGAAAATATCAATTGAGAATGTAGAAAATTATTTTTTTTCTGTGGTTGATAGAGCGATGAAGAAAATTGAGAATAATTGAAAATATCAATTGAGAATGTAGAAAATTATTTTTTTCTGTGGTTGACAGAGTGATCAAGAAAATTGCGAATAATTGAAAATAAATTGAGAAGGTAGGAAATTTGGAATGATCGAAAGCAACAGTTAAGAAGGGATTTACCTATATACGTGGTTCGAAAATGTCGAGACAGCGTCTGTTTCGTTGTCGATAATATTCAAGCCGTTTGTGGCCACGTTCATGCTTCGATTATCGATATCTTTGCCAGTGTATCTCTCTGGAAGCGCATAATCGAAGCTTTATGCGACAATGTCGCAACAGAATCTCCTCTCAAAGGCTATGAACGCGTTTCCGAGACTCAGATTGCCTCGTGTTCCACTCTCCCCTCCTCACTTATACGATATTACGCGATGAACGTGATTAATTAACGTGTCCCATTCGTATCGTGCTCGCATACACGGTGTAAAGGGTTGGAATTTTATGTGAGAGCGAAATTTACGATGCCAGTAAAAAAGAATTTATGGTAGCTGTGAGATTGGTAGGGGATCGCCCGATAAATTTTGATTTCTCAGCCGATTACCAATTTTCTGCGCTGCTTTTGGCTCGATCGTGTGAAAATTATGAAAGCATCTTTTGTGAATCTCGATCCTTGATTATAGAAAGCTTCAAAGGATGAAGTGAAAAGGAAGGGAAAATAATCAAATTCTGACGTTCTCCAGATCGTATTATTACTATGACGTTCGATAGATGGAAATATTCTTTTATAGAAAAATTCAAACAATTTTCAATTAATAGATTTTCACTTTCGTGAGTTTTTATTTATTTACTTTTTAATACTTTTTCGAAAATTTAACTTGAAATGTTGGAAAGGGAATGGTGTGGAAGTAGAGGTGCAGGAAAGAAACATGGTATATTATAGAACTTCATAGATATACTTTGGAAAATAGTTAATTTAAAAATGAAAAGTGTTATAAATTGAACGGATATAAAGTTATCTGTATATTCTAAAATGGCTAAGCTAAATGGCTGAAACAACACTCGACATGCAAAATTCTCGTCACAGTAACGTCGTACAAAGCTTCAGCGGCGACGTCGAGTCAATAAACAGTCCGGTCTGGAAACTCCATTATAATTAACGCGTCCATAATTTATGAACAATCCCCTGGGGCAACGGAATCCATCTTGCTGATCCTGTCTCCGTTCTATTCTCCAGTCCAGCCGACACTGTCCATCATACGAGTTGTCTTTGCAGGTGTTTAGGTGTCTCCTGCACCTGTCCCTCTCACCCTTTCTCCCGCTCTCTGTGCGCTTGTCATCCCTATACCTGACACATCGTGGCCACGAATCCTTCCTTGTCTGCTATAGTGCTTGACCAAGGAAATTTCCCCGTTGAAAGGGGCATTTCTTCTTGCCCCTTGTAGCGCTTAGCACTTTCCTCGTGTTTTCGTGATTTTAACCGGTGGAAATTTTGCAGAAATTTATTTTAGAGAAAGTAAATTTGTTAAATTTACAGTCTGAAATTTTGAAGAACGTGAAATTGTCAA